ACCATAATATACGTGGCGTCCGTGATACGCAAATCATTCGTAAGTGTGGAGAAAACCACTGCGCCATATAATGTACATGCGAAATCATCGAAGATCTCTTTGTCGAAACGATTATTCCCAACGGGATTATCGGTTTGCACTCGGTCTCGTTTTTCAATCACTCGCTTGCGAGAATACCCACTCGTTCCCTGCGCAATGTATCGGCAGGTAAATTATATTGATGCATTATATATACATAGTGCATGTACATTATATAAAATATAATATGTACATATATATATATATATATATATATGTCGAACATTGCTGTGTTAAATGTAATGGGGTTCCGATCTTTGCGGATTACACACCAGAAGTGCTTACTTGGCATCGTCGCCGGCCGCATTATACCGCTGCGGCTGTATAATCGTGTACCCGGCCACCGTTTGTTCGTAAAACGTAATGACGTTATAACGTGTTTGAGATGTTTGATTAATCCGAACCAAACCCACCGACAATAAGTGAGTATTTTGATTTTCAGAGCGTGAAAGCTGATGACATAAAAAAATATACATTTAGTTATCCTATTCGTCGTCAAGTCACGCTCTTACGATTAACATTAACGTACTTATCTATATTTTATTTTTTATTTGTACGTGTGTTCGCTGCATATAAATCAAGGAACAAAATAATACGATTACGTTTAGGGAATCAGGTTACACGATCGATTTCTAATACACAAACGAATTATTAATATTTATATTATATTTGGTTGAATGAAGATTGAGATGTAATAATTTTATATTCATGCAGTATAAATTAATAATATTATAACTCAAATTTAATCATTTTTGATAAAATATGTGCCAATGCGTATATATAGTACATATTTTAGTTATCTGTATACAATTAACAAGTTATTAGTCGTAGAAACTATAGTAACTTTTTATTGAAACTACCTAACTAATTTATATGGACAACCAGTATTTACAACATTTATTCTTATTTGATCTATTAACATCAAAACCTATTAACTGATATTTTTTGCCTAAAATAGTGCTAACTTACTAATTTTAAATTAAGGTACTTAGTACAAATAATAATATAATTTATTGTTTGAAATACATCATTATAATATATCTTACTCTCTTTCTTAGAATATTTTTATTAAAGATGAAGATTTATCATTACAGAGTTCAGATTTAACACTTTCAGAACATCTATCGAGATCTTTTAAACAGCGTAGAAAACTTAAACCCTACAATACATCTCAGTTTATTTACCAAATTTGAAATTTTATAATCATAACTTGTTTGAAAATTAGATACTAACACACTATATTACTATAATATAAAATGGAACAATAGCTGGTATCTTAAAGATCAATGATAAACCATCCAAATAATCAGTTAATATTCTGAATAGTGACAAAATATAATATTTTTCCAAAAACTTTCCATATTCTTTCATATTCTGACTTGTCAATATGCGATATGTATTAAGTGTATGTTTTACTCAATATTAATATATTATATATTTTTTTTTTTTTATCGGTAGTTGTGTTTCTGAATTCAAATTATTTAAAAATTGAAAATTTMACTCTCCTTGAAATATTTTAAAATGAAACCATGAAAAATATTTTTTCTTCTTTCAAACATGTTTGGTTATAGATAATTAGACATAATACTTGTATATTTATTACACGCTGAAAATATTGGTAATGACTTATGAAGTTATGAAGTTATAATACTTAAATTTATAAAGTTTTTTATTTTATTTTATTGTTTACAGCATCAACAACGAGGTTATTAGCCGTCATTAATTTATAAATTATAATTTTATAAACATAATATAGTTTTAAATAGTTATGAAACAATTTTCTATATAATATAGTTCCTAGATTAATATGTTTTAAGTGACATAACATTTTTATATGAGTTTTAAAATAAATTATGATGTTGAATATCGGCTTACGAGTTAAGAATTTGTAACATAAGATTTATAATCATACGTTTAAATTTGTTTAACTACTTATATCATGTAAATATACTTCATACATAGGTATTTTCTTTGTTTCATACAATAAACTAACTACTAAAAATGCCAACTTGTAAGTTGATTAAGGGTATAACTACAACTAAATTGTTTGACATCATAAATATTTATTTTTATTTTTATATAAATAAAATATTTCATGGAAATCAATTTCATAACATTTTAAAACCCTAAATTAGTAGTTGAAGAGGTTATATAATATGTAAGATCCCACAAACTATTTTCTTACTAAAAAAAATGTCATACCTAACTAATAAAAATAATTMTGTGAAAATAATTCAATGACTATTTCATATTGATTAAAATATGAAAGTATTTATCACAAATGATTCGAAGAATGATAGGTACTATATTGGTTTGCAGCATAAATATTCACCTACATCATAATAACTTAAATGTCAGTATTCAATTATGTAAGTAAAATTATACTGCAATGTTCACAAAATATAAATGTTAAACTATCAGAAGTTAATTGTATGCCTATTAGTTTTCATTTGATTCGTTATCTAAAGAATAATCGTATTAAATTGCGAGTAAAGATCAGCAACATTCATTCAACTTAATCACGAGAGAGTGATAATTATTATTATTATACATCCCAATTAATAAAATATACAAAATTTACTAGAAATATTTTTGAAATGTTCATGGATATACCTACCAACTTTCAGCATAATAAGTATGCTATGCTGAAGATAAAATGTATGATTGTGTTTCAGTGAAACTCGTCAATCACAAAAATATGCATGCAATATTTCTATGTTATCAAATGATGTAAGACGTAGGTACTATTTTTGTCACAATAATTAGATCATAAAATATTTTCTATAACAGCTAGTGAACTGTAATTTTAATTGAAAAACAGCAGCAACTCCATATTAGATACAAAGAAAATAATAATTGTTTTTCATATTATCGAGTTGTTATGAACATATATTCAATTAATTTATATTACAGTTATTAAAAGAAAATTTAAGTTGACAGTTTGTGTTTCCCCGAAAATTAATCACAACTGAATCAATCGAATCGAGTTACAGAAATAGAATTTATTTATTTATTTTCATTACTGGTTACGATGTATATGTTTACTTATATACCTTGAATAAAATAGGTACTTTAAGTACCTATATCAGTTAGTCAAATTCAAAAGTTCAGTAATTCGAAACCTTCAGTAATTTAAATTAAAAGCTCGGTCCCTTGAAAATCACATGGTTATTCGAATAAAAACAATGCATTTAAATACACTTGGAAATTCGAAATTAAATTATAGAAAAACTGACCACTACCACGTGACAATCCAAAGTATCATCCACTCAGCGCTCGGTAATTCGAAGTATATTCATCAAATGTAAAAAGTTATGAAAAAATTGAAACTAAATTCGATGAAGCAGAAAWCCATTAGAGATTTCTTCAAAAAGTAATAATCTTTTAAAATCAAAATTTAATTTACCTAGTATAATATTATATAATATTTTAATTTAAATTTTTTAAACAATATATAACTATAGTATGTACCAGTACCACCTAATTTCTTGAAATAATATTAATGATTACCTATAAACAATATTAAAAAAAAAAAATTTCATGACTTATTAATTCAATTTTTTTTGCGCTCTCATTATTTCGAAATACTCAAAATTCGAACACTTGGTAATTAGAAGTTTTTCAACAGTCCCGCCAACTTCGAATTATCGAGAGCAGTCGACTGTATATTGTATTTTAAATGGATGCCATGAGAAAAGAAAAAAATGCATAAAAACAGTTTTTATGTAAAGCAGAATTCGAWTTTTATGTTTTAATTTCAAACGAAACCATTCTTACATTTTGTACGCAACTATATGCGATGTGTTAGTTATACGTATACCACACATCTCCTAAAATAACAATACGTTCGTATTACGAATGAGTTAGTCGTTTGCTCTTATGGAATACAGTGATTTTCTCGACTGAACCTTAACTTCAATAATCAAGACAACTGTTATTGAGTAGCAATGTAGCATTTTATGAAATATAATCAATGTAATTATAATCAAAGTGATCGTGCTTAAATAGGATTGGTTACATTGCAGTGACCGCATTTGAACCACTATGTTATAAACATAATAAACATATATTTTTAAATAGGTTTAATGTATATATAATTAATTACTAATTAAACATGATATACAGACACCATATATTGCGTGGCCAGTTCTGCTCGCCGGTTGTTCTATTTCCGGGGCAACTTTTACGCTTAGACGTCACGACGACCATAATATTAGTAATAATAATCAATAAATTAATAACATCAATTATTGTTGTGCACCAATATAACATAATATTATTATTATGCATCCACATTCATAAACGATAGCATTAAGGACAAAAAAAATTTTAAAAAAACAATAATAATTATAAAATAAGTTAACAGCAGATCCCGTGAGGAACGGTAAACGGCCAACCCACCGCTGAATCTCCCGACCCGCCACTACAATAATTATTGATCACGGCCGTCCCCAAAATCACGTATTACGAAAAACTGCATATTAGGTATTAATGCTATTTTTGGTTTTTATTTTACCATAGTGCCTAGTTGAACTGCCAAATCACGGCTAGTAGGTAGCTCCGAAACTAGGGCGCAATTGAAGGGTTAAGCTGCGCGTGACCGGTTCTGAACAAGTCAACGACCTCGTGGCACAGAAGTCTTTATGGAAGATGCATAATAACATCGGTCTCGGGTCCGGTGCCGTCTGCGTGTCTGTACAGATGATAATATTATAGTATATCTGTACGGTATAATGATATGTATAACACGTCAAGATTGGGTCAAGAACGGAGACGGCGGCTGCGTCATAAAGACGAGTGGAGGGCGTAAAGTGGCTGTGACTACAGATCCTGGTGGGGGAGTGGAGAGGTGGAAGTGTCGTCAGGATGATTCCCGGTTCCGACCAGCGACGTGTTTAACTGCAACTAAATCGCTGCTCAGTTTGCTGTGGGTCTCTCTGTGGATATTTCGTCGAACCCTCGTCCTCAACGTAGCGACATCCGCTGAAGTATTAACATATTATTATTATTAGACTTGTACCGTGGTATATAATACGAGTAACGCATCACACCACAGTAGAATACTCTGTACACCCTGACGTGTCTGACTGTCGTGTATCATCGAGTATCGAATAATAAACCACACAATATTTTCATTACATATCATACGAACGATAAAAACGATAAAAACGATAAAAACGATAAAAACGATAAAAACGTCAATAAAAATGTCTAACACTACGACGATCAAGTGCATGGTTATGGCCGTCGTCTTGCTTCAAATAACTGTCATTTTTGGTAAGCGGCGTACAATTATAWTATATTATTATATTATTTTATTTATCTATTGATGTATATAAAAGGGTATAGTCCAATGATGTGATGTAATTCAGCATAATAAACAACACATCAAATAGTAACATTTAGAAACTTAATAAGCTAGGTTAAACCTTTTTAAGCTAAATATAAGGTAATTAACAAGTTAACAATTATGATACCATAATAATTGTATATGTATAAACCCCATGACAGCAATTTATTTCATTATTTTTCAATTCTGTTGTAGTTTWACTGTATAATAATATTATGCTAACCATAATAAATTCGTGTGATTTTAGCGGCTGCCAGTCACCAAAGGCGGGGCAAAGAGCTGTTGGACACTGAAGACAGTGACTTTTTCCGGTGCAAACAAGCCAGCAGGAAGGTAACCCGTGTATTTATACAACTATAACATAATATACGATTAATATAATGTGATACACTAAGACGGTATAGATTAACATCATAATATACGATATTTTAATTTATAATATATTATACCAGCATCTATGCGACAATATTCTTAAACATTAAATCCAATTCGTTATCATAACATAATATTTGAAGTTAACCTATAATCTGATGATGGTAGTGGACAAAAATATGATCTGGTTTTCAAAAGAAAAGGTAGATAATTTTCGCTAAAATATGTCAAACGCACTTCGTTAAGTGTAACAGATTTCTCTCAAGCGCTTTTAATATGTGTAGGTACAGTATAATAATACCGTGTACATCATCATTTATTTATGTTACATCGTAAAAACTCGATTACACATTTTGATAATCTTACTTTCATTTTATAACAATATTGATTCAATAAATACAACCACAATCAACCATTGTGATACACATAAAATATATTGGACGTTTTTGGAAATAACAATTTTAGTCCATCGTCCTAGTTGATTTAATTGAAAAAGTAAAAGTTCTTTTACTAGAATTGCTATCATATAATAAAACCGTTAAGTTTTGTTYGAAATTTTTCCCTGAGTTTGGATCATAATCCATAAAGAATGAACTTTTATCTTAGTCGCTCAAAGAAAATAATTCATTTTTACAATTAATTAAAAGTTATTTTTTTAGATTGTAAATGATAATAAACTTAGCATAGCCTTTACGTATATTGTTATTGTTTTTGTTGAATAGTAAATAAACGTAAACAATTTTTGAAAATGCTATCATAAAATTACACGAGTTAGACTTATGATGATATAATATTATACCTACTTATATTTTATCAAAGAACTTTGAATAGTTTATTAAATAAATAGAGGTATGTGACTGTTTCTATAATGTCTASATAAATAAATTAAATACAGGTGGTAATTATACATATTTCAGTTATTACAAACTGTAATGATTACAAATCTGATCTAATTTTGCAATTAAACTTCCTATGACATAAAATATACTAGTTCAGATTTCTAGGTAATCTAAAATCAAAGAGCTTTAAAAATGTAACATAAATTTTAAAAATATTGATTTAAAGGTAAGCTTAAACTTAGTATTAAACATAATATCTATATTGTACTAAGATTACTTTCATTAAAATTATATTGGAAAAATAAAATGTAACTTAATTTAAAGTTTTCTTTTGAAAAATAAGTATTCATTTTATTATTTAAATCGAATATTATTTATTTAAAGGTACCTACCAACTTATGTTCCAACATAATATTTTATAATTATAAATTAAAATAAGTTCATTTGAAAGGTAATTATTATTATTATTTCTTTTTTAATTAAACAAAATAAACATCAATATGCTTTATTCGGTTCTAAAAAAGCAAGTTTAAATCTAATTGGCATTTTAAATTGTTTATATTGTCTTCGTATCGTAAAATTTATATTATTTATATTCAGTACAGAAGTAAATACTTAGGACAGAAAAAAAAAACAAATTGAATAATTATTTAAATTTTTAATTAATTCTTATGAAAATTATACTAAAGACTTGTGAAGTACTCAATGTAAAAACTTTAGTCTGATTTAACTAAGTAAAATATTCGATTGAGTAGTTGAATTTAATTAACTTGTCGAGTACAGTTTAGATCAATAAACTTGGTTAAAAAATGAAATAGTAATGCTTGTTCTTCTATACAACATGTCACCAACCTATGTAATTTTTATGGAATAGGAGACAAAAACAACGCAAGTGCTTACAAAAGTTTTTTATCAAGTCACCAACGGAAAAAAATATTAAAGTTATTGCATATATATATATATTAATTATATAACATTTAGGTTTACCAGTGTAATAAAATATTTTGGAAAAAAAATATAAAATAGGTATTAAGTTTTTTGTATTTCATATAACATTTTAATAGGAAATAAATGATTTCTTATAGTTAGTAAATTATGAGCCATGCCTATGCGGAAATATATAAATGTAAAATATTTAATTTTTTTAAAAAAAAAAAAAATAATAATATTGATTTATTCATATTCAAGACGCATATTTCAATTATGCTTGATAACTATTTTCTTGGAAAAAAAAACACTAAAATTTTATAATGTATAAGTTATAAATTTTAACGTTAAAGAAATTAAATCGTTTTTTGAGCATTCATTGTTTTTAAACTGTACAGCAAAATCATCAAGTATCACTGAACTTTTTTTATAGAAACATTCAGGCTGGTTAAGTTGGTTAACGTTTGATTTCGTTGGTAACAATTCCAACTAAAACTTAATGAGACTTTTTGACCACAAATCATTCTTCGTCGCAATGTTATAAAAATAGAAGAATTTATAAACTAAAATAAAACCCCTTAGTTGTGTAGGTTTTAGTATATGTACAAAAAAAAATAAAAAAACTTTTTTTTCAAGTCATGTTGTGGCCCAGAAAATTCAATGAAGCGATTCGGAGATAAAGACAAAGCAGCAGCTGATGAGTGTTACGCACAAGTAGCCGAGAAGTTTGCGACGGTTACAGGTAAATTAAATTATGTTCAAAATCAACTCGGTCAATTTTGTATTTAGTGAACAAAGTTTATTTAAATTAAATTCATATAGATAAATGTCTATTGCACATKCCAATATATAATATAGGTAAATAAAAATGTCTTATAATCTTTATACTTTACCATGTTTTAATTGGCGTACTAATTTGGTTAGAATTCCTAATCCGTATTTAAATTTTAGGAATAAACTATTTTTTTTTCAAATATTTAATTATAAACAACATTTATCACTTTTATATTAAAAGTAATTTTACTRTGACATGGAGTATCAATACTTTTGTCATTATGTTTTAATTTCTTATTAATTACCAGTAGTTGGTTACCAACTGTTGGTGTTATAAAACAAAAAAACAATCTTATTATTTATTTATGAATCTAACGTTATTAACCCATTCAATCAGTTCACATGAAAAAAAAAATAGTTTGTACATGGGTATCTAATACAAGTATTTATTTTAACAAGGTTAAAATAATTATGCATAACAATTGATTGTAAAACAAACTTATTGAACGTTATTATTTTTAACAGTATGGCACATATTAGCTGAATATGTAAATAATACATGAGATTTTAATAATTTWATCCCGTCGTCGGAACAAGTCCGAGTTAAAACTTTCTATTTTATAGTTTGGATTTGAAGGTTTTGCGTTTCTGACCTCTAAGCTTTCTCCTTAACGTTTATAATCAGAGGTCATTCAACTTAACTAATCAAATCAAAACAAAAATTTCAGAAAAACATAGCACACATAATTACAAGTAATCTTAATAATTTAAAAAGGGATTTTGAATTATGTTGGTACAAGTTGTTTGAGTTAAGTTAACGAGTAAACTATTTTTACCTATAAAAATAATTGTAATTTATTGATCAATGTCCACCTATACATTCTATTATACTGAAAACAAATTCTGTGATTCACATTTTATATTTAAAAAAATAAATAGCATGTAGGACATTACACATAATYATAATTTATGATAATATAAAATATAACAGATTCATATCACACGTATTGTGTTTTAAAAGTATTTTTAAATCAAGTGAATATTAAAATTAGAATATTTTATATTCCTTTATTCCATATTCTTGTTTAAATAAAAATTCCAAGGAAACACAAAAATTTGAACTCTCCCTTAAACACCTTCGGACTAAGTATTTTGGCTCCTCGTCGAATAACTTTTTCCATTAATTTACTTCAAATATTATTTTTTATTGCTTCTATTGATTAGTACTGTGAACAGATATTGATGCATAAAAATGTTAACTACAGGTTTTCATTATTATTTTAATTAAACTAATTCAGAACACTCTGATTGTACAATCTTAATGCAACATTATTAAATAATAATTATACAAGTTTGAGTATCGATCGTGCACTGTAAAATATTTATTTTAACCACTTGTCCCCATGCAAAAATCTATAAACACATTATATGAAACGATCACTTGTATTTTTCACAAATTCATTTTGTATGTACAGTACCTAGGTAGACTCGAATAAAAAAAAAAAAAAATGGGATCAGTGAAAGGATTTGAATAAAATTATCCCCTTCATCTAAATTAACAAGTTTGGGATTAAAATCTAGACTATACACAAGCGAATGTTGTGAACATCATGTTGGAATATAATATTGAAGTAATATTTCGTTGTGAAATTACCATTGAATAACATGAATGTAATTTTACATTAACAAAAACTAATATTCTCGGCTCTCGGTCAGAAACGTGAAATATACAATATATATATACAGTGTGTGCAATGTGCAATATAATAATGTGTACATGTTCAGATTAATAAATTTCGACTTTCGAGTCTACACTATGGTGCGTGGTGTGCTGAGTATTAAGTTGATGATTAATGTTTTGTTTTTGAAAATTGTTGAACATAATAATAGAACAATATCGCGCTGCTGGTATTATAAACATAGGTACACAAAAATTAATTAGCAGCATATTTTATATGCAAATTTGTGTCATGAAACCGCATGGGGTTACGAGTGTATTATGTTCTAAACATTTAAATGAACATTACACTTTGAACGGGRGTTTTTTTTTTGCTTAAAATTATTTGCATTTTGGTCATAGGTTTGTATTTTTTCATGATAGATGTAAATATGTATTTAAAGTAGGATGAATAATATAGGTGAACGCAAATATTAAAAATAATTAATGCCAAATTACATTTAGTATAAGATTAATAGGTAAAATAATAACCACCCACCAAATAATATTCGAGACAAAAATATCTAGCTAACAACAACTATAATAATTATATGGTGTTATTATATGATTTTAAGTGTAAGTGAAACGAAAAYATTGTAAACATATCAACCATAAAAGTATTTAATAATAGATTATTACAATGGATCATTTTTATTTAACAACAATTGATAGTTAAAAAAAAAWAGTTAATTCTAGAAAAAAAAATGTCATACCCTCCTAAGAAACTACTTTCAAACGTTATAACGTAAAACATAATAGCTTCAAATACCAATAACCTCTCCYCCCTTAATCAAAAAAACAAATAAAAATATATAAAAAGAACATATATTCAATATTAAAGTGTTTGGCGATTTTAYAGCTACTACACCCAAACAAGACTTGTTTTCCGCCGATGCGGTTAAGATTACCAAAAAGAAGCAATTTGTGAGTGTTTTTTTTTTAAATTATTAATTTACTTATTTCATTCATCTATTTTAATTGTAACACTTATATTTAATTTTTATTTCAGTGCCTGCATGAATGTATTGGCAAGAAAAATAAATTGGTATGGAAATTAATGTTAAATATAATAATAATAAAATAACTAAATATTKAAAATTAATTTAGCTCACCGAAGACGGTTCACTGAACAAAACGTTCATAGCTGATTACGCAATGAAGAGCGTCTTTAAAGAACAGTGGCAGAAACAWGTGGGGCAAAAAGCCTTGGACAAATGCCTCGAGGAGACCTACAGTAAGTGTACCTACATATCTTATTGTCTATATTATGCACTTTTACACTGCAGAGAAAATCACAAAAAAACAATACCCGATAACCCGATATCAAACGAGGCTTTTATCCTAATTATTTAAAAAAATAACACACGAAAACCAAAAATTATATAACATTTATCTGTAAAATATAGACTAACAAAGATCATAACCATCGAGAACCAGTATGAAGGTATATTAACTTATGTCAAATTGATTTTTCTCACAAGCTATTTATTTAAAAACTTAATTTAGTACTATGAAAATAGTGCGTTTTGTAAAATAGGTCAAATTTTTTTCATGACTTAGTAATCGAATTTTTTTTCACGCTCTCGTTATTTCAAAATACTCAAAATTCGAACTCTTGGTAATTCGAAGTTTTTCAACAGTCTCGTCAACTTCTAATGATCGAGAGTCGACAGTACCTAGCAAAATGATTTCCACATAATAAATTGCTYTGTAATATAAGGCATGTAAAATCGGCAAACTCCTCATTATGGTTAACAGTGTTAGCGTACCGGTAGGAAATTGAAAGTCTTTTAAAACTGATATCATATTATATGTATGTAATATATAGATATGTTTGTTTTTAGCCTGGATACATAAATAATTCTCACCGTAATAAGTTAACAAATCAAATCTTACACAATCTTCAAAATATCGCTCATCGATTGAGAACGCGAGTATTTTTCACTCTAGTTTTTTTTTTTTTTTAGTTTATCATGTTTCTTACAAAATTATTATAAAATATTATAAAAAACTTGATAACCAAAAAAAAAAAATAAAGTGATTATATCAATTTCAGTAAAAATTGTATCCTCGCATGTTAAACCTTTCCCTCATCTACTTTYTTATACGAATATACTTTGCGTTATTTGGCAAAGATCACGATACCCCATATACAAATCTTACTACAACGCACTTACCCAAAAATTGAAACTTCTGCTAGCAAACCTTAAATCTGGTCCAACACAAACTACACTTCTTCTCTCATTGTTAGTGACAGCTCCTTATGAAAAGCCACCAAAAAATTACACCATTTTTGCGAATCACTTATCCAACACTTTTCAACCACACCATAATATTATTATTTCTCCAACAAAAATCTAAGAAGTTTTACTATAGCTATTTAATTTCTACTCTTCCAATATATATTCCTCCTAGAGCTTTTCGCCCTAGTGAAGTTGAATTTAATCTAAAAAAATTCACCCAAAATGTTTCCTGGCTTTGACTTATTTCATTGGAAGTTGTCAAATACCTTCCCAGGAAAATCATAATTTTCCTAACCCAGATTTATAATGCTATGCTTCATCTATCTTACATTCCTATATTATGGAAATATTCTATCGTAATACTCATACTAAAACCAAAAAAAACACCCGACTGTCCTTACTCATATAGACCTATAAGACTCCTTCCACCTCTCTCCAAACTATTTGAAAAACTACTTCTCGAACGAATATTACCAATAGTTGAGGAAGCCAAAATACTATCTGACTCTCAATTTGGTTTTCGCAACAGTCAATCCACGATCCATCAGGTTCATCGCCTGGTTGACAAAATTGCATCTGCCCTTGAGGAAATATTATACTACACTGGTGCTTTTCTTGACGTCTCTCAAGCTTTTGATAGAGTCTTTCACTCAGGCCTCCTCTATAAATTAAAACATCTCTTTCCTAGCCACTCTTATTTGATTTTCAGATCATACCTCGAAGATCGGTTCTTTTCCGTTACGCGTAGGTTCCTCCTTTTCTACTGGAATAAAAGTAGGCATACCACAAAACTCAGTAATTGGTTGTCTTCTCTTCAATCTCTATATCTCAGATCAGCCTACTTCATCCCATAATCTATTCAGCGAATTTGTTGATGACAAAGCCATATTAATTTCCAGCCCAGATCCTGTCTTATGGTCTTCTTACATACAAGATCATCTCAACTCCCTTGAATTGTGGTACAAAACATGGGGAGTAAAAATGAATGAAAGTAAATCCAACCACGACACCTTTACTCTTCGCCATAGAATATTCCCAACAGTCTATCTTAATAATCATTCACTTCTTCCTGCCCAGTGTATACAATACTTTGGTATTCTTATTGACCGCCGTCTCATTTGGAAACTATAAATTATAAGCAAAACCCGTTCATTTAATGACCGTTTCCGCTTCCTTCAACCACTTACATTCAAACATGTGAAGCTCTCCAATAAGCTCCTATTCCACAAACTCCTTCTCAGGCCCATCTGTACTTATGGGATCCAATAATGGGACGCTGCCAAAACTTCCAACATCAACCGCATTCAAAGATTCCAATCTAGAACCCTACGTACAATTCTAAAAGCACCATTTTATGTCTCTTACAAAACCCTCCACTCTGATCTTAAAATGTCTTTTGTCTCTGTAATATCAAACATTACTATAAACATTTCAATAGCCGCTTAGCACGCCATAAGAATCCCCAAATATCCAAAATTTCACCTGCTTCCATCCCAGGCAACTCGATTAAAATACTTAAAAGACAGTGGTGTAGTGACTTGCTAGCCTAGCAAAATTCTTTATTATGTCATAGTACCTCTGCTGGAAGGCATCTACAATCTGTCTAATCTGTCTTTTTTTTATTTATTTTAGCTTTACCATCAATTGTTCTTTTTTTTTTTTTGAATCAGATTGAATAAAAAAAACTTATTTACCAAAAAAAAAAATTATATCAATATACTAATATTTTTTAATAACTACTTTAAATTCCACAACAGTAATCAAATATTAGTCTTTCCTAAAGATGACGTTATTCTCTACGAATCTCATACTATATTAACGATATAAAAATAAAAATAAATTGCAATGTTTTAACATTGGCAAATGGAAACAACCAAAAATTTGATATACTCTATAATTATACATTTTAAGAGCCATAATATCGAATAATAAATTGTAATATTAAAATAGGCACCCTMTATTGGTTTGAATGATATATGCTAATTTACAATACAATCATCCAATTTCGATGAAAATTAATTTTTTTCAGAATTACATGACGCAATATGCTATATTTAATATATCATGGTTCGTTTATATTTGTTATTGCTATTCAATAATGAAATTAGTTGGAAAATATAATAGTATAGTAAAAATAATCATAATAACAATAAATACAATTATTATGGATAAATTCGATTTGTATACAATATTCCATTTATTTGTTGTATCATTTTATATATTTGACGTTGAAATTAGATTGCATGATTGCTTCAACTTAATGTAGGGCATTGCTACATGACTAGCATAATATTTATATTATTACATTAATTCATAAACATACACAAATAAATACTGTTATAAACCCYGTTTCTATTTACCTATTGATCTTTGTTTTGAATTAAATTAAAACAGTTTAGTATGCAAACTTTTAACTCGACTTAGTTTGTTAAATTATTAATTCAATCGAACACTGCAACTGACTGATCGATTATCGATTAATCACTTGAATATTTTCAATCAAATAACAACAGATACATATAATACCAACAAAATATTACAATTTAATGATATCATAATATGATTTGTTTCAGTACCGTGGCCAGCAGAAGATAAAGAAAACGTGTGTAATCCAGTATACGTACAATTCCAACATTGTCTGTGGTTTCAATATGAATCGGTAAGTGTAAAACAATGATGCACATTCTAGTTTTATTTTTTTTTTTTTCAAGCTCAAGTACATAATATTATTAATTAATCATTCGTTCCGTAATCCGAAAACAACGTATACAAATACTACCGACTGCGGTGGTATGATAAAAGTAATATTATTTCATGAGTCAAGGCACACAGTAAACCAACATTAAAATCCTTTGTAGTATAATACCTAATGAAAACCCGAACATTGATTTGTGAATGAGTCTGAGAATTTCATGAACCTATAATGTAATCACAATATTTAGGACTTAGACTTAAGACATCGATTTTTCAGATTTACTTATAATAATAACTTAACAAATCATCTATAGAATTTAATATTCAACACAAAACCAATATATATATATATATCAATTGAGAAAATTCAGTTTGAGATATATTCGTAGGACATCTAGACATTCTTTTCAACCTAAAGTTTTAAGCTAGGCACATTATACATATGAGTTCATAACGAGCATTGTTTACTTCAATTTGTTGTTCCATGATTTAGCTTATAACATTTTTTTTGTATAAAAGAAAATGTAAACACTGTTTCAAAAGTATCAGAAGAATAATAAAATTTAATATTGGCAAACTAAATTTTTTCTCACTATATTATAATGATTTTCAATATTGACAAAATAATTTAATGGCCATATTAGGGATTAAAATGCATGTCTTAAATGAGGCGAGTGTTTACAATAAGAATATAATATTTTGGAAATAGTATAATCAAATCCTTTTAAAGTATCTCAGCTGAAATACTGGTGAAACAAATCTTWATATTATTTTTGTGATCGATGATCAAGATAATAATATACATAGTTTTGTATTCATATTTGTTGCAATCATAAATAAAATCACAAAAAATTGTCCATCGATGTATCGTTATGATATAAATTTGAATTGAATATAATATATTCTAATCGATTTATAAATACGAAATATTTTACCGTTTGTAAAATAAATGAAAATACTATAAACTTGGTAATGGATATATATAAATTATATATACATATTACATATTATATTACATTTAACAAGAGAATACATTTTAGTTTTTTTCTTAAAACTGAAAATATATTTTTAATTTTTTCATAATACTGATTTATCTACTTACTTAGCCATTAAATATACATGTATTATAATATACATRAATTATGGTACATAAAGTTTTTCATTCAAAATAACCCCGTACTACTAATATAATAGTGAATATGGAACATACATTTTACAGGTGATTACTTTTGTACCATTTAATTTCTCTTACATAATAATATGATCTCATATAATTTGGATGCATTGACAATTTAAGACCTACCACTTCATCTTATAAACTACATTTAAATACGATTAATAGCCATCATCACTATAATTGCTATACCAACGTAATATTTGATTGTTTCTTTTTTCAGAACTGTCCTGAAGATAAGATTAAAACTAGTAAGTTAATGAATTTATTTTTTATCTCGTGCCCTCATAAATACCTAATAATAATGATTTGTTTAATTTWATTTTATTTAATTTTAGCCAAAAAATGTGAGAAGACTCGAAACCGATACAGGATGCAAAAATCAACATCAAACTAATGATTCGCAACTTAWTGATATTACTGCGCTAATTGACTTCAGAATACATAAGATATAATATACACACGTTTTCAGTTAGTTTATTAAAATTAAAATCTATCGTTTAGCTTAATTATTATTATTATTTTTTTGCAAGTACCAACTTTTGGAAGGTTTTCAAAAAATAAAAAAAATAACTAACTGTACGGAATTATAATCCCACCTTTTTTAATTTTACTATTGTTTATTGATTTCTAATTACTTTATCCATAAAAAAATCCTGTCGTTTTTATATGAACTGTGTTGAGGTACACGAATTTATATGTTATTATATTATTATGTTGTATTATAATGTAACTCTCACAAATATCTATATTATGTACACTATTATTATTGTTATTTAAATAAACTTTAATTTATATTTTAAAATTATTTTTCTTATTATAAAATACGATGTCTTGCATTTTTTAACACAAACGATAACTATTGATACGTTTGTCAGTCCGTTTGAATGTATATGTATTTATATACAAGAAGCCTAGAAGCAATATTTTTTAACCTAAATACGACTACCTACGTTAAGAGATAATGTGAATGGAATCTTCTTCTGCTCTTGATTTGAAAGGACATTCTTATTTTCTCATAATAATGTATAGTTATTAGTTAATTGATATGTATACATTTAGTGGGTATGRARATGRAGATGGAACACACTGGAAAATTAATTTTTAAAATGTGAATAAGAGGTATCTTTTATGGACAGTAGTTGTCGAGTATAAATTGTAATGGATGTTTTATARTTGAATTCAATAATAAATCATTGCATTCTTAACATTGATTCTTAGTAGTGTCTTCCTATAAAATGTAAAGCATGTATAGATAATCAAATTTAATCTAAAAATTAAATTAAAAAAATTCCAAACATTTTTTCGCTTTAAACAGCGTAACTTTCTGGTAGATATTTTTAAGGACGAAAAATTTGTGCGGAATATTCTTAAGATTTCAAATGTTA